AGCGGACATGCTTAACTTAGTATGGTTCTTGGGTCTAGCTTTGTTGCCTGGTCCCTGTTGCAGGTGATTGCTGCTGACAAGCTTCGGCGAGGCATGGACCTGGCCCGGCGTTTCTTCCAGCGGAGATTTAGTGTTTAGTAGGTGATTGACGGTTTTAGGGTTTTGGGGGCTCATCCACCCGAAGGCCATTCCCGAACGGAAGCTTTAGATAATTCCAGACAGAAGCAAAAACAGGCTAAACCGCAAGCATCAAACTGAAAGCGTACACCGCAAACCCTTTACCCTGCACTTTGAAACTGTTAAGAATTCCCACACATTGCATATTTGCACAGTGGGTACCCCGAGAATGCCGAAAGCCCAGCAGGAACTTGTGCTGTGTTCTTGTAGGGTTTCAATGTTTAGGGTTGGGGACAGGATGGCTCTGGAGCTCCATAGTGGTTGTAAAACCTAAACCCCGAACTCTAGCTAAACCCGACTAAACTCTGAGCCCTGAAGAGGCAATAGCTCTAGAAACTCTACTAAGGCCCTAGGCCCTCATTTATAAGCCCTAAGCCTGAAGTCTGCAGCAGCCGCGGAAAAGTGGGCTTTGGATCCCTCATGTGATGCCCACAGAAGCGACAAACCCCTAAACCCGTAAACCCTGAACCCCTATTCCAACATCATCTTAGTAAGGGCTACGCCCTAACCCCTAAAAGCTTACACCTCAAACACTGAATTCGGAGTCGACTTTTGTGGGTGTCTTGGTTTACGTGTGTACTTTCAGGGCCCAGGGCTTTCAGTTTGAACTCCTTAGAACCCCTAAAGTTCCTCACCAGACCCACGTCCTCATGTGCCACTCCCCTGAACCTTGCACCGTAAGCTATGGCCCTAAGCTCTTGAGAAACGAGCATAATGAGCATCAGGGGGTTGTGGCTTCAGGGTTTCGGGGTTTTGAGATAAGTCCACAAAACAGGTGGCAGTTTCGGGTTTTAGGGCCTTAAATCTTCTTTGCGGCCCCTGAACAAACAGTGTAATCTGCTGCCGCTGCTAGCCCAAGACCCCTATAACCGCTAAGCCCTAAACCCCCGACTAGAACCCTTAACCCCTTAGACCTTCAGAGGCCCAGACTGCAAGCCATGTTTTCAACAGGTGCTTGTCTCAACTCTCAGCGCAACAGTCGCAGGGCCGGGGGCCGCGCTCCAAGGCAGATTTTGAGCAGGTCCTTCGCAGTTGGCGGTCTAGTTGTTGTCGTTGCTTTGCTTGCCGGCTTAGACGACAAGTTGTCGGGATTCCGGGTTTGATTTGGGATTCTCTTTGTTTACAGTTGCTGAGAAAGCCCTATTCCTCCAAGGTCCGAACTGTGCTGTGCTGCAGCGTGAGTTTAACTGTGCTTCTGCTGCAAAGGATCTGTGTCTTCTGCATCCAGATGGTTTAGGATTTTAGTGCGGCGTCCAGGGTTTAGGGGTCGTTCTACATGCAAGGCTCAACCCGAGCTATCAGGCCAGGTATGCTTGAACGCCTGGCTTGTAAACCCCTACTAAAGCTTACAACCATAAACCGCTAAACCCCTAAACCCCTAAACCCCAACCCCCTGAAGCCCTCCCTAGGCCTGGTTGCTTAGTAATAGGCTCTTGGATTTGTAGGGCCCTTTTCGCGGGTTGATGCGGCACCACAACGTTATCACAGGATTCCCAACAACTCAGAACTGAATAGACTTTGGGGGCTCAGGGCTTTCCGGGCTCACGTACTTCCCATTGAGCTTGGTAGCCGATAGTGCAACGACCATGTATCCGAATGCTATAAAACCTGGCTGTTCAGGCTTCCTTGTCACATGAGCCCGTAAACAGGTAGGTTCTTAGCGCTTAAGAATGCAGGAAAAGCTACTTGTGCTGCTTGCAGCTTGGCCGGTTGGCCGGTCATATCATACCACATCCCAGACACATATATACACATCGTCACAATGACCATCATCGTCATTATCGCCATAATCATGCTTCTCATACTGTCGCTTGCGAACCTGCCACTGCTAAGCCGTCTAGGGTCTGGGGTTTAAGGAGGGCTTTAGGGGGTTGGGTTTAAACTGTCATGAAGCTCCTGCAGCCCGGCAGGCAGAGCAAGCAACATGCTTCATCTTGGCGAGGAAGCGTGTGGGTGTGCAGCACTGAGAATTATACACCAACTGTATCGCGTTTTCGTGATTATTCAGGCACCCTGTCCTGCACAAACCTGGGCTGTGGCATCTTTAACAGAAGTGAAGGGTATGAGTCGAGCATTCACCAGTTTGTGAACATCGTTGCTTTGGTTTCACGAACCCATGTAATTATGAGTGAACCCATTTAACCCGGGGCCGGGAACCCGACACCGGGCACCCGGCATGTGGTACTGAAACAAACGCACACAGACATACATGTACAAACTAACATGGAACTCTTTTCTTTCCATGAAGAATCATATCATGTATGTATGTATATAATGTGTATCTATGTATACTTGAAACATAATATGTGTATGTTTCATGTTACAAACAGTTTACTGGAATCAATATATTATGAAGCATAGTACACCACATTATATTTTGCTTACATACATATAACGGCCAGTATTTGCTTACCTGTGCGTGTGTGTGTGTGTCTATGAAGTAGATGCCGGGTTCCCGGCTTTTGCTCTTCTTCGCCGGGATTCCAAAGCCAGGAAACCGGTGCCGGGTTTCCGGCGCCCCAAAACCATCAAATTGTACCTAGGGCTTGCTTTTGGCAACCCGGTTCCGCGCAGTGCATTTAACAAACATTCAAGATATAGATAGATAATGCAATATATATATATATAATGAAACAATATAAAGCACTAATCTAACGACGCCGGGAACCCGGCATCGGGTAGTGGCTGCAATTTGACAACGTCGACTAAATCCGTAAATCAAAGAAAATCTAAACCACTTTATTATTACACAAACATATACAGTAATAATAAGAAAATCGAAAATGAATCGTATTACTACATTTAATAATAGTATGTTGTACCAATATAGAAAAAGTTGGAATGATCATTATGGCGCCGGGTTCCCGGCATGGGCGGGGCATGCAAAGCAAACGAGAACTGATTCACATTATTGAGACACAGTATATATATATATATATATGGATTTGTATGTGTATGTATGGTGTGTGTGTGTGTGTGTTTTGCCAAGTAGCAGATGCTGGTGGGTTCCCGGCGTGGGTTTCCCGGGGGATCGGTGGTGCCGGGTTCCCGGCGTTAGGGTTTCAGGTTTAAAATTCCGGAATACAGCTTATGTGTATGTATGGTGTGTATAGTTTGCCAAATAGCAGATTCTGGGTTCCCAGCGTAGGCTTCCCGGGGAAGGGGTGCCGGGTTCCCGGCGTTAGGGTTTAAGGTTTAGATTTCCAGAATACACCTCCTGGCTTTTTGTGTGTGTATGTAAACAAAACCAAAAAAAGTAGAAACATGAAAACATATTTTTCTAGTTTAATTTTTTAGAAGTATAAATATAAATATAAATATTTTTAATATATACTTATAGAAATGCAATATATGTGTATATAGCGAAAACCGATGCCGGGAACCCGGCATCGGCTAGTGGCTGCATGCAAATCAGAACTACGTTTGGTCAAGTGCTAATAGTTTGTTTCACTAATATGAAAATGGTAGAATGGATCATTACGGCGCCGGGTTCCCGGCACCGGCAGGGCATGTAAAGCACTCGAATAAATGGATTCCATCAACATAATTATTGAAACACAGGATAAAACTTTTTCCTGTCTTTCAATAAAGTAATCTTCCATAGTTATACAAATATATATATATATATATATATATATATATATTATTTGTAGGTGTATGTATGGTGTGTGTGTGTGTGTGTGTTTTGCCAAGTAGCAAATGCTGGTGGGTTCCCGGCGTGGGTTTCCCGGGGGATCGGTGGTGCCGGGTTCCCGGCGTTAGGGTTTCAGGTTTAAAATTCCGGAATACAGCTTATGTGTATGTATGGTATGTGTGTGTGTGTGTGTGTGTGTGTTTTGCCAAGTAGCAGATGCTGCTGGGTTCCCGGCGTGGGCTTCCCGGGGAAGCGGTGGTGCCGGGTTCCCGGCGTTAGGGTTTAAGGTTGATATTTCCTTCTGTGTGTGTGTGTGTGTGTAATTGTGAATCCTAGGAATACAATAGTCTTGGGATTATGAATACTTCATTCTCTCTTGTAAAATTCGTATATGTGTACATAGACACCTACATTGCATTTAAAATAGGCCGTGTTGCTGTATGCATAAGATACGTTCATATTAGAAGACTTTTGTTTAGTTTAAGTTGCCAAGCTGCTTCTCTCAAAAGTATATCAGCAGAGGTGAAACGTGCAGGACAGGGCACCCACATAATCAACAGCCGGCACTGCATTCGGGTGGAATCCAGTGCTATGTGTTTATTATGCTTGTTTGGTGTGCGCTGCTCCCCACGCCGTGGTTCTTTGGTTTCACGCAGTTGCTTACTGCTTTCCAGTGGATGCTTTTACGTGAGCATTACTTTGCGGGATTCTACAGTTTTGCCACACCAGGTGCTGGCTGCCGACTGCAGCCGCTCTGCGCAGGTCCCAGTCTTGACTCATTTTCCGTTCTCACCGTCAGAAGATTGATGCTTGCGTTGCAACATTGTGTGCGGCCATCAGATTGACTGCTCGAGCGGAGGCCTGGGCTTCCCTCATTTGTGTTTTTGCCCCGATCGACTCGCTCTTTCTGTCTTAGCCTCTCTGAACATGGAGCGCTTTGCAGCTACGGCGTCGTGGTCGCTTGAGAAGCCCTTGCGCAAGCTCGTGTTCTACGGCAGTGAGTTGCAAGCAGTAATGGTTCCTTGCTTCCAATTAACGCACGTCAACGTGTTGTGATAGTACTGTGAACGAGCAATTTTCCAGTGCATTGCATCTGTTTGTGCAGGAGCTGGTGCACAGCGAGGCCCGGAAGTTGGGGTACAGTCCATCCAATGAAACCCCAAGGCCCGGCGTCGACAAGCTGGGACGTATGTTGCTCCTGAAGCAAAACAACCACATTTTGCGGGTGACCTTCAGTGCGGCGTCGCAAGAGGACTTTGCTAACGGGACATTGTCCTTTACTCCCGATGGCGGCTTGTCGCTCAACAAGCCGCTCGACTTCTCCGTCGGAGTCGAGAACATCAGCATGTTCTCATCTGTCAAGCATGCGGAGGCCAAACTTCGCTGCGAGGTTCACTCGAAGAGCACGGTGGTCGACGAGAAAGCTGATGAGGCAACGGCGGCGTCGGCCTTCAAGATTTGCATCTTGTTGTCGGCGTCGGCGTCGACGGAAAAATTTCCAGAGGATGAGGTCGGCGTCGTCAACCTTCAGCACTATATGTCCAAGAACACCAAGGCGCATAGTCGTCCGAGCTTGCCGTCGGAGTCGTGGTCCCTAGTCGTCTTCCCAAGCGAACTGGAAACGACAGCCGTACACCACTTCCTCACGCACGGCGTCGCTCCGTCGGCCGTCGTCCTGGACTTACAGGTCAAGCAGGAGGTGATGATGCCAGCGCCCGGCGTCGGCGTAGATGTTCGATGCATCCCTGAGAAGGCTTCTCTCGCAGGTCACTGGCTGTTCACGGGGTCGGATGCGAAAACAGTCCTGGGACACATCCGCAAGTTCGTGATCAAAGCAGTGGTCGGGAAGTCGGATCTTGTGGCCGTGGACAGCCCCTACACCGATGTTCTTCAGAGCCTCAAGGATCGCGCCGACAAGAGGCAGGCCCTGTGTGGTGGTTGTTAGGTTAGCGGTTGTGCTGCTTTCAAGAGGAGACAAACTTGCCTGCCAGGAAGCGGCGTCGAATTGAAGAACTGAAACAACTGGTCCGGGAGATGGATGGCCCAGAGACTGAGGGCACTGAGGCTCCGTTGCCACCGGCTGACAGCCAGAGCGCATGAGCTCGGATTTTTGAGACATGCACAGGGCCGTCGATGATACCAGCTATTATCACTATATGATAGTTATTCAACGATGATGTCTTGGAAAATATGCTTGTGCATGGTCCTGTGCCGGTGTCGAACATACACGCTTGCATTGCCCGACACTGGGCTGCTCGCTGCAGAGTGCGAGAAAGATTGAAAACTTTGACTTGTGGGCAAACTTAGTTTTGCTGCGCTTGCTGATACCTCTGCCAGCTTGCACCAGGTCTTGCTAGCACAAAGACACAGGAGGTCCCACACGTCCTTGCTTTAGTCGAAGGCTCCAGAGGCTCAGCTTTAGAAGTAGAAGGGCCCAGTTCCACTGTGGACAGACATGACCCGATGCGTGCAGCTTTGTGCTCTCGACAAATCCGGCGTTTGGCGCGTGAAGTCGAAGCTGAGCCGGAAGCAGCCCAAGGTCGAGAGATCCGCGGCTGAGGCGGCGGCGTCGAAGGTGAAGAAGGAGAAGCAATCTGCGGCCGAGGCTAAGAAGGAGCGCAGAAGAGAGCTTCAACGGGGCTATGAGAAGACACGTCAAGAGAAGCTCAAGAAGTCGGGCGTCAAGATTTCCCGGCCCCGCGAGGGCCTCAATGGCTTCAATGTTTGAGCACTCTGACAGGTTTTGAAGGTTCAGTATTGCATCGCCAGGTGTGGAGCACAAGCTGGTGTCGATTCCGTCCGCCCACGGAGGACTCTGTATGTCTATGTTTGGCCTGCCCGCATGCCTTTCTGTAGTTTGCACAATTTGCCCGGCAGGACAGAGCCTGAAGGAGGAGCACAGGAAGCAGGTCGTGATCAAACAGGAACCGGAGGAGTCGACCGCCAACTTTTCCGGGGCTTTGCCACTCCAAATATGCATGAAGCTTATTCAGATCGGTTGCTTGTACCTGCTGGCGGGTTTTTACTTAGCTTCTCGGCCTCATCTCTGAGGTTGCGGAGTCGACCAGCAAGAGCTCGAGAATCTACGCAAAGACCACAAAGAGCTGGAGATTCTGCGCAGTGAGCTGCAAGAGGTCCGGGGAGAGCTTGAGATCATGCGGGGTCGATGTCAATGGTACGAAGACGTGAGGGATTGGGTGGCCAACTATACACGGTATGCTGTTGGGATCAACACAGAAGGGTTGCCAGACTGGCTGCGCATCGGCTCGAAGAGCCTCAGTTTGATCATGAAAGAGAAGAAGCAAAGAGCTTCTGGTTCTGACACTGACGAAACGTAAGCTGTCCGAACGGTAGTCGAACCAACGCAGCCCAGCATTCTCGACAGACAGCAACAGTCAGCAAAGTGTGCTAACAACTTCAGCTCGAGCATCTTCATCAAAGTCAACGGCCGTCGAGTCGTCAGTCCAAGTTTCACGGGGTTTCTTGGTAATCACAACGGAGTCGACACGTGATTCTGTGATTGCTACGGGGAGCGGGCGCTTGGGGCACAATGGCCGCAGGTTTTGTTGCTTCTGCTAAAGGTGTCTAAATTATTATACTATTCGTGTGATTCCTGCTTCCATCAAGGCCTGAGTTGTGCCCGGAGCACACATTCTGATTGTTTCCCAGCGCCCATGCGGAGGCTTTCCTGCTCAGGACTCAGGAAAGTAGCGCAGACCTGCAGAAAGGACATGGCTCTCGCTTCGGGGTTTTAGCTTGGCTAGACCAATCTTTCAGGATGCTCCCAACAATCTCTCACGAGACGACACCCATCCTGTCAAGAGACATCAACCAGCAATCTTTCACGAGACACCCAGCAATCTCTCGCCAGAGACCACCAGCAACATTTCACCAGAGTAGTGATTTCCAAAGACTAGATTACCTCAGAATATCTTGAGATATTGCTGGATAATCTGCAGTTTGGGTCCCCTGACATTACATCAGTTGTTTTTGTGAGGTAATACAGAATATTCCTTGTACGAATTACCCAGCAATATCTCAAGATATCGTGGGGTAATTTGTTATGCTTACGCTCTTTGAATTACCTCTGGATCTCGCGAGAGATCGTGGGCTCTGTTGCTAGGTTGTGGATCGCAAGAGACGGGAGTCTCGTGCGAGACGGCAGTCTCGCACGAGACGCTGCGCGAGACAATCATGTCGTGACAGAGAGGGCGGCGCGCGGTCACGCAGCAGGATGTGAGAATGCTTTAAAACAGAGCGTTGCAGTGAGCCTTCACACCGAGCAACACAGCCGGTGATTTGAGCTGCTCTCAACTAGAGGCCATTCCAGCTCTTGCACGGCGTCGCCTGGCGCTTGAACAGCCACAGCTTTGCCGGTTGTTTGCTGGTTTACTTCTCTTGTCTCTGCAGGCTGCGTCTGGTTGCTGCAAGTTCGCGGGGTCACACAGCAGGATTTGAGAATGCTTTAGAACAGAGTGCTGCATTGAGCCTTCACACCGAGCAACACAGCCAGTGATTTGTGCTGCTGTCAACCAGAGGCCATTCCAACTCTTGCGCGGCGTCGTGATCCTGCCCGAACGCCCGGCGCTTGAACAGCCACAGTTTTGCCGGTTGTTTGCTGGTCAATACGCTGAGTCTGGTCGCTGCAAGTTCGTTGTGCATGCTCGTGTCGGAATAGATTTTTTTCTCAAGCTGTCACCTTCCGCTGGGCCCCGTGCATTGTGGACTCAGCTCCCCCCTCCCCCGCGAGAAACCATGGGGGTACAAGAACGTCCGTGAGGCATCCTTCGAACAGCCGAGCTCCATGCTCGGGGAAAGTGGCTAAAGTGGCTGAAGGGCAAAGGCCTGAGTCCGAGAGGCGAGCTCTGTTGCAAAGGCAAGGGCCTTCCATGCGTCCCCGAGGAAGTTGTCGCAGAGCGACAGCTTTGCGACAGCTTCCTCGGTGACGCGTGGAAGGCCTTGGAAGATTGGCAACTTCAACGCGGATTTTCGGTGTCGACAAGAAGTTCTTGCGCGCGACTGTGCTGGCCTGGATGCCCCGGTTGTGGCAGCTGGTTTGGTCGGTGACGATTTCGCCAAGTTTTTGCGTCGGACATCAATCCGAGTGCCATGGAATGGCTACAGGCTCTGGGCTTTTGATCCTGCAGTCGCAGCTGCAGCGTAGTGCAGAGGGCGGCGAGCGGTCGCACAGCAGGATGTGAGAATGCTTTAAAACAGAGCGCTGCAGTGAGCCATCACACCGAGCAACACAGCCGGTGATTTGTGCTGCTCTCAACCCGAGGCCATTAAATTCCAGCTCTTGCACGGCGTCGCCTGGCGCTTGAACAGCCATAGTTTTGCCGGTTGTTTGCTGGTTTAATTCTCTCTCTGCAGGCTGAGTCTGGTTGCTGCAAGTTCGTGCGGTCACACAGCAGGATTTGAGAATGCTCTAGAACAGAGTGCTGCATTGAGCCTTCACACCGAGCAACACAGCCAGTGATTTGTGCTGCTGTCAACCAGAGGCCATTCCAACTCTTGCGCGGCGTCGTGATCCTGCCCGAACGCCCGGCGCTTGAGCAGCCACAGGTTTGCCGGTTGTTTGCTGGTTTAATTCTCTTGTCTCTGCAGGCTGAGTCCGGTCGCTGCAAGTTCGTTGCGCTGCTCTTGTCGGAATAAACTTTTTTTCTCAAGCTGTCAGCTTCCGCTGGGTCCCGTGCGTTGTGGACTCAGCTCCCCCGCGAGAAACCATGGGGATACAAGAACGTCGGTGCGGCCTCCTTCGAAAAGCCGTGCTCCATGCTCGGGGAAAGTGGCTGAAGGGCAAAGGCCTGAGCACGGATTTTCGGTGTCGACAACAAGTTCTTGCGTGCGACTGTGCTGGCCTGGATGCCCCGGTTGTAGCAGCTGGTTTGGTCGGTGTCGATTTTCGCCAAGTGTTTGCGTCGGACATCAATCCGAGTGCCATGGAATGGCTACAGGCTCTGGGCCACGCCGAACGCCTTCACGGAGACATTCTGGAAAGGCCTGTCTCGATGCTGCCAGACGGTGTCGATGGTTATATTGCGGGCTTCCCTTGCCAACCGTTCTCCCGGCAGAATTGCCGCGCAGCAGGATTCAAGGATTCTCGGACAAGGGTTCTCAATTGCTGCTTGCAGACGGCTCAGACCATGAGGCCGCGGTTCATCATTTATGAGAACGTGCTTGGTCTTCGCCCATATTTGGGACGCTTCCTGCAACTTGCTCGGAAGTATGGCCTCTTGTCATCCTACCAGATGATCATGGTTCCGCTGTGTCCGCGCAAGTCCCTGAATGAGCCTACTGCCCGTCCTCGACTCTACATTCTGCTGGTGCGAAAGGATGTGGCGTTGGTGTCGAAGTTTGAGGATTTGCAAGACTTGGTGTCGACACTATGCTCTGCAGCTAAAGACGGTATGCCACCAGTGGGGCTGAAGCCGTTTTTGCAAGGCAACGTCGGCAGCATCGCCCGAGCGAGGTGGGGGTCCAACTCCAAATCTACTCCGAAATGGGTGGCTGCTCACACAGCCATGCGAAAAAAGGTGGGGCTGGGTCCTCCAGCTATTGAGGGCGACAGTGACTTCACGGCCAGGGCCTTCAGCTCTCTGGAGTATGCCGCCGCAGTTTGCGAGTTTCCAGCTTTGGTGGACGTATCTCAAAGTTTGTACCGACTTCCCACAGCTCACGACCAGTGTCCTTGCATGACGACGTCGTCGGACCTTGTTCTCTTGGAAACACCGGAGTCGCGCAGGCGGCTGCTGCCAAACGAGGTCTTGAGCCTGCAAGGCTTCCCTATGGACACTTTGAAGCCTCCTGCAAGCCTGTCAGCCAGACAGCTTTGCTTCTTAGCTGGAAACACGATGCATGTCAGGGCGGTTGGCATGGCTCTGCTCCTGTGTCTTGCCTTGATCAATTGGGGCCCTGCGAGCTCCAAGGAGGGGTCGACAGAAGATGGAAAAGAGATTGTCATTATGTTCAAGTGGACGAATAAAAACAAACTGGTGCCAGATTCTCAGAGCTACTCGCAGAACAGAAAGAATAAGGCGGCGGCAGCAAGAAGGAAGCCTTCAAAGGAGATGAAGAAGAAGCCGGCAGCAGCGGGAATGAAGCGTCGACTAAGTCAGGTTTTTTCCCAGAAAGCGGGCAGCAGCAAGACCGGCGTCGCAGCAACGTCGGCCGCAAAGTCGGGCGCAAAGTCGGCAGCAAAGTCGGCAGCTTGCAGAAAGCAGCCGCGGCGTCGACTATCCCATATATTTTCGTAGTTTCCTTCTTTCTCTGTGCGGACTGTCGGGTGCATTGTGATGTGCCGCCTCGTATGTCCCTGGCTCTGCTGGCCGGCGTCTGTGCAGCAGAAAACTGACGAGCGTAGTGTTTGAGACACGTTGTGAATTAGTACTTGTGTGCATCATGGCATCATGGCAGCAACATCACACGACACCCTGTCAGGCTGACCTATCACTGGACAAAGCCCGGGCCCAATTGTGCAAAACATCATCTCCAGAGCAAGTTGCACGCGTTTGCATTGGAGCATGTTGCATCACAGTTGCTCTTGCAGATTTTAAGGATCAGTCGATTGAGGCCCCCTCTGTCCTCTAGTACTTCTGCTCTGAAGTCGTAGCTTCGCTATGACGGCGGCGTCCAAGCGGAAGGCCCCGGAGGAAGTCACCAACCAGCCGAAAGCCGGTCCCGCCAAGAAGGGCGCACGGCAGGATCCAGAACCTGCAGCTCCTGTTCCGGCTGAGCCGGCCAAAGCTGTCCAGGCTCCTCCTGCAGCTACTGCTGCGCCTGCCCAGCGTCCTACCATTCCTGACAGCGAAGAGGGCAAAGCTTACGACAGTTTTGAGATCATGAAGTCTGTGATTCCATGGGTTTTCTGCCTGCAGTTTTATTTCGGCAGTTGCATTTCCTGAGCTGGATAGTCCATGACTGACCGTGGACCTTGAGTGGCGGAGTCGAAGTCCTAAGTAGAATGATGCAGCTCAGGTCAATGACAACCTGCCAGCAATGCTCTTCAAGCTGAAGCTGGCTACGGAGTCGACCACGGCAGTGAGGTCCCACGTCCCACTTATGATCAAAAGGGAGGACGATGATTCCGGGCCGCTTGCGCAGAACCAGATTTCAAATTAAGGCCATGTAGCCTGAACATTGCAGTTGAAAGAGCAGGAAACCCATGTCTGCACAACCGAGGTACTCCGAGCCGTGGCGTCCGGATAATTGCTCTTTTGCACTCAATCGACACAAGGTTTATTCCGCAAGCGGAAACGTGTGCTGGATCAACCCTTTGCACAAGCTGGCTATTCCTCAGGACCTTCCTAGCTGGGGTCAAGTTTGCAAACTGAGTGCACGCTTTGCTCACAGCAAAGCCGACCTCAACAACGAGATCCTGTGGCCCCTCACCGTCTACTGCCTCATGTCCACGCCCCCGGACGTCGATGCCTATCCGATGACCATGTTTTGCATCAGTGGTCATGGCTTGGTTTTCGCTTGGTATGTTGCCATGTTCAAGGCCTTGGAGGCTGCAGACTTGGGATACATTCGCCAGCTCTGGCGCTGCGGCCTGAGCGCCTCGATCACCCTCCACTGGACAAGCGTGCCACGGCAGATTTTGATGGTGGCTTTGTCGGCGTCTGAGAACTATGGGAGCGCGGAAGACCTAGTGGAAACATTCCCGGTGTTTGCCCAGCGCGTCGACGCCTTGCTTGCTGAGGGCGGCAAGTCGGCGTCGAAGTTGGATGACCGAGTCGACTACTTGAACGAGAAGAATGTCAAACACAGGGGCAACGTTTTCAACAAGGGCTTGCTCAATGCCTGCATAGCAATGCGGAGATTCTCACCAAAGGCCTTGGCCACTTTGCGCAAGATCTCCCATGAGCATGGGAACGCGGTGTTGACGGACGGGTACGTCAAACTGGTCCGATTATCCCAAACTGCGAGCACGACCTGCGAGGCCAGCTTGTCATGTGGTAGTAGCGAGTTTAAACGTTCGCGCAAGTGTGCCGTTTGCTTGCTTACATAGATTGCAGGACGACCTTGTCACGGAAGCCATTGAGTGGACCGTGGAGTCGGCCTACGTCGCTTTGTCGCGTGCGGACTGCAAGGTCGACTTCTTCAAAACGCAGCACCTGGAGTCCTCCAAGGACAAGTCTCAGGCTGGCTGGTTTGTGGTGACCTTGCAGAAGTTCATGCTCGTTCACCATCTCCTGACGCTACCGGCCAAGTTGGAACTTCCGCTGCTGTCCGATGCGTTGGAAATGGTGTCCACACCGTCGGCGTGGGACCTCAACTTCCCCAAGGTCGAGACGGAGGATGCGGAGTCGGAGGAGACCAGCAAAGGGGGCCCTGAGGCCATCGCCCGCCTGGCCAAGTTGACGGAGGAGCAGAAAAGCTTCTTCAGCTTTGTGAGAAGCATCCTGGAGGGAGACTTCAACGAGGACATGAACGGCGTCTGTGGCGGCAAGAACTTCAAGATGGTCGACGAGATTTACAAGGAGGCTACCCCACACAAGAAGTTGGAGGTTTTCACGGAGTTCAACACGGTGTTGAAAGGCCTGAGTGCCGTGAAGGTCCATGCCGCGACGTCGGAGTCGAGCGCTCCTAGCTTGAGTGTGAAGTCCTTGGCCAGGTTGAAAGACGAGGAGTCCCAGGACGCCCAGAAGATGGAGCGCCAGGCTATTTGGGCCAAGGCCCAGGCGCAGCGGAGGAAGCTCGTGAACTTCGCTGTTGCGTCAGATTTGGCAACGGCAATGGACAAGCCTCAGGCGGAGTCGGTTCGGTCCATGACTGGCAAACTGAATGAAAGCCACAGGTTGTTTGTCATGTCGCTCGACTTGGTGTCGGAGTCGAGTGCCACCCCGTGGAGCACGCCCAGTGCAGTCGACAAGGCTGAGGTGCAGAGACTCTACAAGTTCATGGAGAAGCATGCGACACGGGAGTCGGACTTCATCCTTGCATTCTGCGGCAGGTCGGCGTCGAACCGACGAATCTTGGAGGACTCCCTCAACGTGCTCAATTGCCCTTCGACCGTCACGGAGATGTGGGTCGCATACTATGGCAACTTAGCTGGCTTCAGCTCATGTCAATTAAAGCATGCAGGAGTTCTTGCAGCCAAATATAAGGCAAGGACGACGAGCGGCCCGGTCGAAAGGTGTTCGGGGGCGCGCCCCATCGGGAGGTCGGGTTCTTGAAGGGCATGGTGGCGCGTGTTCGACTCACGACGAAGGATCGCCAGGCGACGGCTCTGATTCGTTTTAAGTCACGTGAGATGTAGCAGCTCCAGGCAGCTAGGATTGGTGTGATCACAAGTCAAGCCCTTGCCCTTTGCCAGGACGACTTTATCCCCACAGAGCAGGGCGCGGGGTCGAGTTACGAAAGTGGGTTCGTCGGCGTCGGTCTCCCAGCTCTTGGCTCTCTCCCAATGATCACGGGGTCGGACAAGAAGAAGGTCTTGTCCCTGAGCACCACGCCCCCCCAGCCCGCGGGCTGGGGGAGGCAAGGCTTTCCGTTGTTCTGGAACGAGTCGAAGTGAGGGGCTTACTATTATAGTCGGTGTTGCTTGTTTGAAGTTTTCCTCCTTTCTGTCATCGTTGTGGTCCGTGCTCAGGAACCGCGACTTCTGGTCGGCCATCCTCGAGTACACATGCTGCAAGTCGGTGGTCGACTGCACGCCGGGGTCGGGCATGCTAGCAACGCAGTGTCTCGAGGACAACATTCCGTACTACGGGCTGGTCAAGGGCAGCACCCACTTGGCGTGGGTGTCGAACGTTCTCGATTTGGCAGCCTTGAAGATGCCAGGTTGCTCAGGAAATCCTTTGTACGTGGTGTCTGACTATTCCAGGTAATGACGCTGCCCAGTAAATATTGCTATAACCACAACTTAGGATATTGTCGGAGTCAGAGCACCCGCTCTATCAGCAATCCTTGAAAGAGTGCATTGAGCAGCATTTTCAAGACGAGATGATGGACCGCACATTCGAGCTCACAGAGGATGAGTGCAAGGGCCTGCGCGGCGAAGACGACGCTATAAAGGCGTAGATGTCGCGTGAAGTGGCGGCGTCGCTGTAAATTTTACTTTTTGTCATTGCCTTGCAGCATGCAGCCTACAATATATTCCAATCATACTCAGAAAAAAATGACCACTCAGACGAAGGCCAATGATTAGAAGCACTATAAGAATAAGATTGCATTCTGACTTCAACCTGTCCCATCTGCGTTCTGCACAGCTGCGGTTGTGTTAAGTTCAGGCTGCTCTCACCACAGCGTCGTGCAATGTTGCGCGCAAAAAAAGGCAGAACCAGAAAGGAGGGGCGTCAGTTCGCAACATTGCGTTTGTAGCCTCGGTGCACACATCTTGATTGAGACTGTGTTGCACTAAATTCAGGTCATGGTGATGGATGCCGAACAGCGCCTGGCACCCAGAAATACCTGTGACTGTCTTCTTTTAGCCAGCATCGCGTGAGGTTGTGTGCGAAGCTGCTGCTGCAGCAGGACCCGCTGCAGGACAAGGAATTCTTGCATAGTTGCATCGGGCGTGAAGTTGCCTATTTGCGAATACTGTGCCTTCGCAGCTCCGCCGGCTTATTTAAGATGAACAGCATGCATGCCTTATTCGCAAGTCGATACAACCAACAGCATGAATAACCGTGACTACGCACATCCCACGCTAAGGAGTTGTGAAGCATCGCAGATTCCACTTAGTATCGGAGTCGTGCGTCCTAATAAATTGAATGCCCAAGCGGTCCCTCGAAGATGTTTTTGGCCAGAGTCCTTTGCAGCCGAAGCTTGCCCGGGCATCTAAGACCGAGCGCAAGAAGCCGGTATGTGCCCCAGCACAGTTGTCGAAGCCCGGATCAGTCAGTAAGCGCCGAAAGCCCGTACAAAGCCCGGCGTCGAAGACGCTGAGTGTCTCAACGGGGTCGAGGCGGAAGCCTCTGTTGTGCAAGTCAGGCAAGACGGAGGCCAAGAGGAAGCAGTCCGGCAAGAAAACAAAGTGTTTGACGGATGTTTTTTCCAGGTTGCAGAGTTGCGATGATGGTGACGTGGGGGCCATGGATGCGCGGCAGCACGCGGAGCTGCACCCGGACCCGCGCCAACACCAGGACAGCTGCGCACGATGCAGATTCCTGGCGCGAAGGCATCTCTGGGAGGACATCGGGTCGAGCCGTCTGCCTGGGCAATCTGAAAAAGTCAAGTTGCGCTGGCTGGCAGAGCGTCCACGCCATTTGGCCTCCACGTCGGCGTCGAACTGGGGCATTGGGTGCTTGGCCTGCGCAAACTTGATGTCGAGACTGGGTGGCGAGACCAAAGGCACGAAACTCCGTGTCGGCACGAAATGGGCCACCTTCAGCGTCAGAAGCTGGAGCAACATGCAGGCGGAGTCGATCAAGCTTTTGTGCTTGCAGTTTGGCAACTTTGTGGTTTCGTGGTTCAAGGCATTATTCTTCATTTGAAGCGCAAGAATGATTTTTCAGTCAGGAAGCATGCCAGATCAGAGATCCACAAGACCGCGCTGCGGTGCTGGCAGCATCCAGGGCTTCCACAAGCCGTATGTGCACCTTCGTCAGAAGCTCGACGCCTCGATGCACAAAGGGCCCCAGGGTATTTGCTTGAGTCTACCAGTTGTCCCTACGCTGTCGCGGTTCCTGAAGTTTGCGGTCTACGAGGCTGACTGTTGGACCTCAAAAACTTTGATTATTATGACGAGGTTTACTGTAGAAAATGGGAAGTATTCAAACAGTAATTAGTAATATAAGATATATAATTTATAATACTCATGTTTATCTGGCCCACTTGCATGAACGTTTCCCCTCTTTCTTGCTGGCCCTATCGCCAACTTGCACGAGTGTTTTGCCTGTTTGTTGCTGCCCGTGTTGCCCACTTGCGAATGTTTCGCCTCTTCGTTGCTGGCCCTGTCGCGTACTTCTGCGAATGTTTCGCCTCTTTGTTGCTGGCCGTGTACTTGCACGAAAGTTTCGCCTCTTTGTTGCTGGGTCTTAGGCCTACTTGCACGAGTGTTCCGCCTCTTTGTTGCTGCCCCCGTCGCCTGCTTGCACGAATGTTTCGCCTCTTTGTTGCTGGCCCCGTCGCCTACTTCTGTGACCTCTTTGTTGCTGGCCTTGTCGTCTACTTGTGTGAACGTTTTACCTCTGTTGCTGGCCCCGTCGCCTACTTGCGTGAACGTTTCCCCTGTTTGTTGTTGGCCCTGTGGCCTACTTGCGCAAACGTTTCGCCTGTTTTTTGGTGGACCCTGTGGGGTCAAAATGCACGAAGTTTCCCCTCTTTGGGGCTGGCCGTGTTGGCTACTTGCACGACTTCGCCTCTTTGTTGCTGGCCCTGTTGCCTAGTTGCAACGTTTGGCCTCTTTGTTGCTGCCCCTGTCGCGTACTTGTGTGAACGGTTTGCCTCTTTGTTGCTGGCCCTGTTGCTTACTGGCGCAAATGTTTCGTCTCTTTGTTGCTGGCCGTCTTGCCTACTTGCACGAATGTTTCGCCTGTGTTGCTGGCCCCGTCGCCTAGTTGCGCGAAGGTGTCGCCTGTTGTTGGCCCTGTGGCCTACTTGCGCGAACGTTTCGCCTTTTTTGCTGGCCCTTGCAATTGGCTGCTTGCACGCATGTTTCGCCTCTTTGTTGCTGGCCCTGTCCCCGAGCTGCACGAATGTTTCGCCTCTTTGTTGCTGGCCCTGTCGCCTAGTTGCACGATCGTTTTGCCTCTTTGTGGTTGGCCCTGTCGCCTACTTGCGTGGACGTTGCGCTTGTTTTCCGGTGGCCTACTTGCGCGAACGTTTCACCTGTTTGTTGCTGGCCCTGCATGTGGCCGTGCACGAACGTGTCGCCTCTTTGTTGGTGGCCCTGTCGCTTACTTGCACGAATGTTTCGCCTGTCTGGCCCTGTGTCCTACTTGCGCAAACATTTGGACTGTTTTTTTGCTAGGCCTCTTGCCTATTTGCACGAAAGTTTCGCCTCTTTATTGCTGGCCCCGTCGCCTACTTGCATGCATGTTTCGCCTCTTTCTTGCTGGCCCTGTCGCTTACTTGCACGAATGTTTCGCCTCTCTGGCCCTGTGGTCTACGTGCGCGAACGTTTCGCCTGTTGTTTTGCTGGCCCTGTTTGCTACTTGCACGAACGATCCGCCTCTTGTTGCTGGCCCTGTCGCCTACTTGCACGAACATTTCGCCTCTTTGTTGCTGGCCGTCTTGCCTACTTGCACGAATGTTTGGCTTCTTGGCTCTGTCGCCTAGTTGCGCGAATATCTTGCTTGTGTGTTAATGGACCTGTGGCCCTACTTGCACTAACGTTTCCCCTCTTTGTCGTTGCTGGCCCCACCGCCTACTTGCATGAACTTTGAAGCATAACGAGCATAGACCGATTCACTTAATCGAAATTGAAAATTGAAAGGCACGCACTTGCTGGCCACGTGTGTGCATCCAAGGAGACATCTTTCGAGGCGCGGTTCCACAGGTCGACGATTATGTACGCGTTTGGCGCTGCCTGGTAAATGGTTCGTCGCTGCGGTCGACAGAGCAGCTGACGTTCACGGAGTCGTTTCTAAACTGCTCACGGTCGGAAGTTGAGTCCGTGAAAAGGCGAGCAGCTTCTCAAATCCTCCAGGTAATGCAAGAGAACGTGCGGCGTCGCAAGCTCGACTGCCTCCTGAGATCCTCAAGTGCCACGTTGCTTTTCGACGACAAAGGAGAGCACAGTTTCCTGTCTGTATCTCGAAGCAGTTTTACGGTGTATGTAATGAGGAATAAATGTAGCTGGACATACCTCAATAAGTCTCACAGCTAAAACATTCTGTTGTGTAAATGCTAAATACTCAGGAGTGATCCGGTATTTCACCAATCTTGGGGGACAGGAACGGTACGGCAGTGGTGTCATTGCTGTGCTCCGCCACGGTGGTCGAGCAACTTCGGCGTCGATCACCGAGTTTGAGGAGGATTACTCCCAGCGAGTAGCAGACTCGGTGGTCGAGGCCTTGCAGACCTTCTGCAAAGGTAACCCCGAGGTCTGGGACCACATGCAAGAAATCACGCGCTGTTTCACCTCCGACGCGTGTCCCGCTGCATTGAAGGCTGGTCGGTGTTTGTCGCAGCACTTTCGCAACCTGACCGTGATCCATCGAGACCTGAGCCACGCAATCAGGCCACTGGTTGCAAAGAGGTCAAGTAGTCTTTGTCAATTGTGGAAAGGAAAGAGTTAAAGAGTACTGTGGTAGTAGTAAGAGAATGTACTCAGCGGGGAATGTTGTTTTCGTGGGCTTTTGGCGTGGCTGCAGCTGCGATGGCTACATTATCTTTTCGATGCCACACTATGTATAGCTATATATATATATATATGTATGTATATGTATCTCTCTACCTATTCACATATATGTATATACATATACAGATGATGTAAATGACAGATATATATATATGTACCTATATATATATGTTTGTATGTCTCTATCTATCTACATGAAAAAAAGACATATATGTATATCTATATATATAGATGTGTGTGTCTATTCTCATCTATTTTTCCTAACAACTTCTGGACCTCACATGAAGTCTCAGGATTTTTCATCAATGCAGTCTAGCAACGGTTCCGGATCTTTCAACGTCATGTCTGATGTGTCCTTGTCATTGTCGAGCTTTGGGGTTGGGAAACCCTTAGGGTTTGGGGCAATTTCCAATGAGATCTTTGGGAATAGGTCTTGGCCTACGTTTTGACAATCCAGTTTATAACAGGCAAAAGCCCTGAGTATGCAGAGCCGCATGTTGAACTCAATCTTGGCCAAAGACTCTTGAAAACATAACATGGTGCGTACCCAGAGCTAGGAAGCAAAGGTGGTTTCAACTATACTGCAATTGCAATTTGTTCCCCATCCAAACAGCAGGGGAGCAGAATCAAGAGACTAACCGGTGAACCAAAACTATTGTTAGAACCGAAAGCTGCGGACACGTGCTGCGGTGCCAATGAGTGAAGATGAACATGAGAAATGTAGAGCCCGGACTTCTATAAACCACAATGAAGCAATTACGCAAGACAAGCATGC